GTGGGGCTGCTGCCCACCCAAAATCCAGGTTGGGGGGGGATTTAAACCACATGGGCTCATCCTGCAGGGGCGAGCCTTGCAGGAGGTGGAGTGCAGGCCAAGGGGTGGACGGAGCGGCGCAGGTTGGAGGAAGCAATCTCACTCGCGCCCCGGTTTCTTCGCCCACCTCGACGTCATTGGTTTCCTCTCACCGGTGGTAAAGGAGCCCGCCGGCGCCCATGCCGGGCTCTGTGCCGCGAAACGGCTTCGCTCTGATTTCCTGACTTATCGCCTGCCTCTGCCCAGACTGCGCGGCTCTCCTCCACCGTGAGATCCATCTCCAGCATGAAAACCACTTGAGAACGCCTTTGGGAAGGAGCGAGGGATCCCTACAGCAGGCTCTGTGGCCAAAATACCGCGGCGGAGCCGGAGCCAAAGGCTGCTTTGGGGTCAAGCAACCAGGGAGCAGATGTGGGGGCGAGGATGCTGCGGTCGAGGAAGGGGTGCACAAGCCCAGCTTCGTGCAGGCACTGAGGCGATGGCCCTCCGTGGTCCTGGCACCGGTGCCAAAACGTGGTCGAGGCACAGATTGGCGATTTGTTTTCTGCCTGCAGCGGAGAGATTTGACCAAGCTGGTCTCTGCGTGCTGGGCTCTCCCTCCCCGCACCTTGCGTCAAGGTCGCCCTAGCTGGATTTTCTTGCAAAGGCAATTCGGACTTCTCTCTGAAGTTGCTTTTGTTGGGGTGTCCAAACCGTTCGCTTCACGCAAGGCCCCAGACAAAGCACTGCTGGTCCCCGGATGGACAGGATGAGACCCAGGGTGGTCCAGAAGCTTGCAGGTGGGCAGAGGAAGGAGTGCTGTCACCTGCACTCATCACCTTGCAGGACAGCGGTAAAGAAATCCCCATGTAGTTACCGTAGACGCATCCTGGATTTCTGCATTGCCCGTTCTTGGGGTATTTCGTGGTGTTTTGCCCAGAGGCTGCGGAGCAGTCGCCAAATTCAACCGGTAGCTCAGAAATAAAGGCGAGGGGATGCTGAGCCCTGCCAGCTGCTGGGAAGCAAAGAGGTTGGAGTTAGGACACAGGCTTGAACCTGTGTTGTTATCAGGAATTGCTTTTTTTCAAGGAAATCTGCCTGTGCTGGAATCCTAGGTGCTTTTTGCAGCTGCTGCGAGCCCCCGAGATGAGGGCTGTGCGTGGCCGTGCAGAGACCTGAGCGTTGGGGCACAGCTCGGTGCATCCACTCCGCTCCTGCGTGGGGGTTTCTGGCTGCGGGGGGACCAGCCGCTGGCGGCCCAGCAGGGATGTGACTCGCTTGTGGAAAATACTTGCAAATTAGTCACCACCGCCCTTGCTGGCCCCTCCTGGCTTTGGGACACTTCCCCCTCCTCGTCCCCAGCCGTAGCCGTGGCACAAGCAGCTTTTGTAAGCCTCAGGACAGCACGCCGGCTCGTGTGTGCATCCCCACGCTGAGAAAAACGCCAAGCTATTTATTTCAAAGAAGGAGAAAATTGCGTTTGCAGTTTTCACCGTGAAACCTATCGCGGCACTTTTGCCTTTACCCTTTTTTTTCTTGCAAGAACCTGACGTCCCTCCTGCGGGGCAGGAGCAGAGGGGATGGCAGGGAGGGCTCTTGCCCAAGAGGAGGATTTGGGGCAGGAGCCAGAGTCGATGCGGATACCACGCTGGCACCCAACGCAATTTCTCGCCCGCCACGCTTGGGCGGGGCTCCTCTTTTCGGGGAGCGGGAAGCAGGACAGGGGCCCCCTGCCGCGGCCGGTCTCCAGGGCTGGAGGGGGAGCGAGGATGTTTTGGAGGAAATATTCAACTTCAGAGGCGGTTACCACAGGAAACGCTTCGGGGGGCACCGCATCTGCCCTTAGCGGCTCTTTCCTGCCCTGCGAGAGTGGGAAGGAGGAGCGGGGCCGAGCACGGTGTGGTTGTGTCGGTGAAGGGGGAGATGATTGCAAGGGCTGCATCACACCGGTGAGAGCCAGGGAAAAAGCTTCACCCCCGCCCCGTGTAAAATTTTCAGCTGGTCATCACACTGGCCACAAAAGGTAGAAACTTGTAAAGTGGTAAGGGAGGGAGCCGCAGCCTCGGTAGTTCTGGTTTTGTGAATGCAGGAGACTTTCCACTGAGCAAAAATAGCCTCGCTGCCTGTGAGGCCAAGCTCCCCACAGCAGCTCTCTCCCCACACCTCTGCGCAAGCCCTGCGGTGGGGTCGGTGGTTGGGGGCTGCTCGCATCATGGGTAAGAAGGATCCTGTGAACTGCTGGTTTGGCCTTAAATGGGCCCAAAGTAAGGGCAGAGCTGTCTCGTGCAGAGGGAAAACTCATCTGGGTGTTCACACCGGTGTCCGCGCACGTGCACGAACACGGCCAAGCTGAGCCCAGGCCTCCGGCTGCCCCTCGAGCCTGGCGATTCAGAAGAGGTGATGCTGAAGAAAGGGGAGCCAAGCGTACCCCTCTGAATGCACGCTCCTTACGCGCCTGGGAAAGGCTGCAAGGAGGGAGAGAACAGACCTTATTTCTAGCAAGGACTGGGCAATTCCAGCTCAAGGCTGAGAGCAGGAGGAACCCCCGGGCAGCAGTGCCCGCCGGGTCGCTTCCTTTCCACGGGGCAGAGCCCTGATGCAGCTGTGATGGGCTTAGAGGGAGATTAACATCTCCGATAAAAGGTAGTAAACCATCGCATTTTTCATAAAAGACACAACATCTCTTTCCAAGTCTTGTGCCGCTGGGCTGAGCTGAGCTCTTTGAGGAAGGCCGAACACGGAGCCGATGGATGGAGACGCATCCCTGATTTCCAGCCGTCTGGGTGGGAGTGTGGACCCTGCCGGCTGCGCTGTGGCAGCATCACTTCAGGTGGTCATCGGTGCTTGGGACAGAGACCTCGCTCTGCAAATGTTAGTGCTAATTAAACAGAGCAAATGTCAGCATCTCTGTTTCATCGAGGGGGAGACGAGGTCCTGTGATCAGATAGGAGAGAACACAGCAAAATTTGGGAAAGCATCAGAGCGCTGGCTGGTGGGAGCGCTGCTTTCTGCAGAAGGGGGCTGGTTTGGAGCCACTCGAGATTTGCTCTCTGGTGATGGGCTGTGGTTTCTGCAGAGCGAAGCGTTCACGGGAGGCAGGCAGTGATCTCAGGGGCCACTCCACCCCTGCGGATCATTCCCAAAAAATCCTCGCCCCTGAGGAGTCAGCAGCAGCCGCAAGACCTGAAGCGGCGTGATTTACAGAGAGGAGCGATGCTGCTCGTCCGCAGCGTGCTGACAATCACGTTAATGTTTGTGAGATTTGAGTAACGCAGATGTTGTAGCGAAGAAGCTGCCTGGAGCGTGAGGTGCAGTCTGGAAACCCCGTTTTGGTTTTGGCAGCAGGGTAATCCCCAGTACCAGCGTTTTGCAGGGGAGCTGGCTGGCAAATCCCTTTCGAAGGTCCGTGCTTACAACCACATCCTCTGCAAGGGGCGTCCCGTAGCAGCACACATTGAGATACAAGCAGCATCCTCACTGCCCTTCAAAGGCTGATTTTTTGGATTCACAATCCTTTTTGGTTTTTTTTGGTAAGTGATTTGCAGTCCTGCGACAGGTCTGTAGATTTCAGAAGGGGAAGCTGGGCACAATCTTCAACTGCAGCACCCCTGACGCAACTGCTAACCGCTCGGCCCCGAGTGCGAAATGTTTTGTAGGCTCATGCGCCCCGAGGGTGTCGGTGCAACGGGAGCACCGCTCAGGCGTGAGATGCCCACAGCCCCAAACATCACAAGGCAGTGGTGGGTGATGTTTAATTTTTTTTCCTTTCAAAGCTTGTCCTTTGCACTCAGGTCCATGCCAGGATTCATCGACGCTCCTATCTAATGCAGCTTTTGCAGCTCTCCGCTCCGTTAACCAGCTCGGGGGAAAAGCGGGCAGCTGGAGGCAGAGATACGGGGCCGCTGCAGCTTCCCCCATCCCACAGGGTTGCACAACACCTCCCTCAGCCCTGGCTTAGCCCGAATGCCCTCTGCCAGCAAACGCTGCTGGGCTCAGGGGCCCGAATCCTGCACCGCCCTCACCGCAGCACCCAGCCAGGTGCCACCAGCTTGGTTTTAGAAGGGGAGACGCAAGACCTCAGGAAATCACCGCACGCAGAGACCGGCGAAGCTGAATTCCCCTGGAGTCATATAATTATTTTTGCCCTGCAACCATAAACACTAACTCTACCCAGCTGGGTTGGCACCGGGGTCTTGCAGCGCTTGGTCCAGAGACAAAAATTCCTTCTGGAAACAATCCCTCCCAAGGCATTGGCTGCCACAGGAGCACTTAGA